AGTGTTAGAATAATTGACATAATAGTTAACATAATATTATATGACATTCTATCATTGACTGTTTAAAACAAAGTCGCCTTTTTCATCAAATCAACTCTCGTTATCTAGAATTTTGAAACTACTTTTGGCATCATTCTTTTAGATAGGTGGTTTAAATCTTACATACATTAAATCTTACTTTTGGCATCATTCTTCTAGATAGGTGGTTTAAATCTTAGGTACTTTTGGCCCTCGTTTTTGCTCAAGAAATTTTATTTTCACACTTTTCCACAAACCAATCAGTCAACCCCTTGTTAAATCAATTGTATAATGTGTCAGGCCTTACAATGGCAATACAACCATTTGGTAAGTGAAGGACAAAAATACCCTTTCTCACTTTCATTTTTCCACTATATTGTCAACTTTGTCAAAAAGGTTGGGGGTACTATTGGAATTAGTGGCCTAGATGGTAGGGATTAACAAATTGAGAATTCAGTGGCTACCTGCAGAAACGTACACATCCATCAAGTTCATATGTCGTGGGTCCCGCAGCCTACTATTTTTGACCAACAAAAATGAAATTTAATGAGCAAAAACGGGGGCCAAACAGGGGCTAAAAGGGCATAGCGGAAAATGTATGCAGCACCACTTCAAATTTTTGCCATGTTTGTCATCACTTAAAAAAGAATAAATCCTAATGTACACTCTTGTGTACATTAAGACTTACACTCATCTCACAATGGAGTGTGAGGTTCGCGATTTTTTAAATTGCGGGCCCCCAACCATTGTGAGAGGAGTGTAATGCATGATGTACATCCATCTCTCTTTAAAAAATTAAATTGTTTGATATAGTATCATTTCTCCACTACACATTCACACAATAAAATATTCTACACGAACCAATAAAGTTTTCTATTTTTTAACTTCACATTCTTCAAAAAAATACTATTCCACAACCCATTATTCCCAAATACTATTCTAATAACTCATTATTAGAAGAAGACATTATTGATGTATTTCTAAGCCCCTATTTGGTACACATTCTTTTAAAATACATTCTTTCAAAACATATTTTCAACCACAAATTCTTCAATAAATAATATTTTTCATCAAATCAATAACTTTTTCTTACTTTTTAACCACATATTTTCCATCATATTACTATTTAAAATACATTCTTTCTTCAATAATATCTATCAAACACATCCTAAACTTAAAATGAAGTAAAAATTAATTTTTAAGTAATTGTCAAACAATTACAATAGAAAAAAACTTTTTCTTTTTTAAAGTAAGTCTTGGTCTTTTTCTTTTTAAGAATAAAAAGAAAAAAACTTTTCAGCTAAGCACAATAGAGTTACAGTGACGTGTATTAATTAACAATCACAGTAAAATTACTAGAACGTAAAATCAGACCCAACTTGGACTTAGACTCATGTCCCTTGTCATTCCAGCCTTGGGAAAGTATAAAATTGACATCGTTTTCAAAATTCAATGAGCAATTGAAAATGTTTTTTAAAGTTTAGCGATCAATCGAAAACATGACATTTTGTCAACGGTGTGATTGGATGCCTCATGTGCATTCTGTTAACTACGTCACTAATTCCGTTAAAGGAAGGTTTGTAATGGACGTTATGCGAGTGAGTAGCGTTCAGCGTTTAGATAAATTTAGTGATCAAAATTCAACATCTTAAATCTCAGTGACCATCAGTGACCATTGGAACAATTAACGTGCACATTGCTTTACCACTTGACATTAAGGAAAAACCAAGCACATAATGGATTTCAAACTACAAAAGTAAATGAAAAGGAATGGTTAAGACTTTCTATTTCGATGTGGGACAAAACAGAACATCAATATTGCAAAAGCACGCACCAGTGATGGTTGTGAGCATACTGTTTGGACGTCAAAATGTGAGTTGATTATGTTGGTCATAATATTTTTGTTACTTGTAGATTACTCATAATTTCTGATTTTATTGATGAATTGCTAGCGAGATAAAAAGAACACTTTTAAGCTAATTTTAGTTTTCATTATTAATTTCTGATTCTCTTCTTTTTCTCTGCCTATATATACACATTTCAGCGAACACTTAAAATTCTCAATACAATTTCATTGAGGTTCATTTAACTCCAACTCATTTAATGTATTATTTATCTCCAATGTTTCATCTTTGAATTTTGTCATTTTTCGCCACTTTTGCATTCTTTTCTCCAATTCTTCGTTAAACATAATTTTTTACGTACAAAATACAATATAACATAAATTAGGTAGAATTTTATTCAAAAGACAATAAAATATCATGTCTTAGGACCTCGAATAAGTGTAGAAACTACACTTATCACATCCCCAAACTTGAATCTTTGTTTGTCCTTAAACAAAACTAAAATCCAACAAACGCACAAATATGCAATGTTAATTATCTAATTGGTGGCCAGTCAATCAAATAAATCAACAAGATTTAGTTAGCTAACTCGGCTTTATGTTACGATCAAATAAATCAATCAAATAAATCAACAAAACTCACAGAACTAGCAAAAGGAAGNCCCCCGTTTTTGCTCATTAAATTTTATTTTCACACTTTTCCACAAACCAATCAGTCAACCCCTTGTTAAATCAATTGTATAATGTGTCAGGACTTGGTAATATTGTGATGGATTCTTGAAATCGAAATAGAAATAGATCTTGTCAGTTGAATAGGAGGACGAGTTTTGGTAGTCTAAGGCTTCAGCGTCTATGGCTAGTGTTGCTCTTGGTCCTGTTTCTGAAGATCATTGGAATTTCCCGGGTTGTTATACGGCTAAACATGGTCTCCAGTTGAACGACTCTATCTTAATTTACCCAACTGTTGGGTGGTTCTGTAATTCCGATGCGTGTTCTAGAGTCAGATTCAATTGCTTCTGTGAATTAGTTCTTTGTAAAAAAGCAGAAACTTGTCTTTGATGGGAAATAATTGTCTCGGAACAATTCTTACGTGTGGGACTATGGGGTCACTGATGGGAATGTGCTGCATTTGATTCTTCGGCTGTCTGATCTCCAAGCCATCACTGTCCGGACTGTGTGTGGTAAGATGTTTGAATTTCGTGTTGAGAGAAAACGGAATGTGAGCTTGAAGATCAGAGGATCATAGACGATATGTGTAACAATTGTGGTGCAGTGATTCACTTGTTGGTCCGTAAATCAGCCAAAGTTAGGACTCAACCTCTTGAAAAAGATTTTGAAATTTCAATTGTTTTATCAGATGTGGAGAAGGTAGCTGATGCAGTAGATGATTTAGATTCTTGGTGGGGAATGCAGAATGAGACACTTCAAATTGTGCCTGCAAAATCTTCAACTGTTGGTGGTTCTGTTTCCAAGATTTCGTTGTCGCCAATGATTGAGCAACTAATTGATGCCTCGAATGATGGGCTCAAGAGAGACAAGCAACCTATTAGAGCATCTGAGGGATGTGGGGGTGCTTATTTTATGCCAGATTCGTCCGGTCAGGACTATATTTCTGTTTTCAAGCCTATTGATGAGGAGCCCATGGCTGTAAATAATCCTCGAGGGCAACCCTTGTCCACAAACGGTGAAGGGCTAAAGAAGGGAACCCGAGTAGGGGAAGGTGCCCTAAGGGAAGTTGCAGCATATATTTTGGATCATCCAAAGGAAGGACCACGTTCATTTCACAGTGACGAGAAAGGCTTTGCCGGGGTTCCTCCCACAGTAATGTTTAAATGTCGGCACAGAGGATTTAACTATCCTGATGGTTATCAGTATGCATCTGATAAGATTGGGTCATTGCAGATGTTCGTGAAGAACTCGGGTAGTTGTGAGGATGGGTCATTGCAGATGTTCGTGAAGAACTCGGGTAGGTGTGAGGACAGGGGTCCTAGGTGTGCCTTTCCTGTTGAAGAAGTTCACAAGATATCTGTCCTTGACATAAGGTTGGCAAATGCAGACAGGCATGCTGGCAACATTTTGGTTCGCAAAGAGGGCGAAGAAGGTAGAATTGTGCTTATTCCAATTGATCATGGTTACTGCTTGCCGGAGAATGTAAGTGTTATTTCCTTGTCCATATTCAGTATTTGTCGTGCCAGAATATTGGTTTGTTTCTGAAGATGCTTTAATTGACTGCTTTTATACTTTTAGACCACCTCCAAACCTGCACCAAAATTTGAGGTAAGCTTTGCACAATTTTACACCAAATCTTGTACCAAACTAAGAATCATCTCCAACCATTATACCAAAACTTACACAAAAGGAACAGTCTTTAATCTTTTTCTTCTCTTATTTGAAAAATTATTTCTTTATTTATTTTACAAATACATAAATTACGTTAAATAATCGTGTTTGTTATATTTTAAGTTTTTTTGTGTCGCAATTTTAATTAATTAATTAACTATTGTTTTTTACATTATTAAAATTTATTTTAAATGCAAATAATAATAATAATAATAATAATAATAAGAAGAAGAAGAAGAAGAAGAAGAAGAAGAATATAATAATAAAATTTATTGTATTAAAAGATATATAACACAAATGACACAAATACCCTCCATCAATTAGTTTGGAAAATGGAAAAAAAAAAGGCTAAATTTGACTTTGCACCATTTTGAACCAAAATGGTGCAAACTTTGGTGCCACATTAGAGAGCTTTTGCACCAAAATTTGGTGCATTTTGGTGTTTTGGTGCAAACCTTGGTGTCACAGTGGAGAGCTTTTGCACCAAAAGTTGGCGCATTCTGGTGTTTTGGTGTCTCCTTTGGAGATCCTTATGCCAGCACCACTGTTTTGAAATTTTGTGTAATATTGGATGTACTACTTTTCGATTTTTTGTTATTTTGTCTGAGTTTTCTGGAACTGCTGTGATGGAATTCAGAAATACTAGTAATCGGGTTTTGAAATTCTCCTAGGATTGTGCTTCTAACTAGCAATGAAGATTGATCACTGCTTAGCTACCATCCTAGTATCGTATATCCCCTGGCCTTTTCCCTTTCTTATATTTTTGTCATTCCCCTTGTCGCAGTTTGAAGATTGCACATTCGACTGGCTCTACTGGCCTCAAACTCAGCAGCCCTTTTCTCCTGATACCATTGCTTACATAAAGTCCCTGGATACTGAGAAAGATATTCAACTTCTGAAGTTATACGGCTGGAACATTCCACACAAGTGTGCACGTGTGTTTCGCCTTTCCACCATGCTTCTGAAGAAAGGCGCAGAGAGAGGGCTCACTCCCTTTGCAATAGGAAGCATTATGTCCCGGGAAACACCGAGGAAGGAATCTGTAATCGAGAAGATTGTTCAAGAAGCAGTGCTCCCGGGAACAAGTGAATCGGGATTCCTTGAATATGCATCACTTATCATGGATCGTTACCTTGACGAGTTTACCCCATAAGACTCCAAAATAACTAGTTTGAAAGTATGTAACTAGCGTGAAAGTATGTAGATCATGCATATTTTGTATGGTCTGTTATAGTCCGTTTGCAAGATGGACTCAACAATACTTATCAGGGTTGTAACCTTGAGGGGTTCTGTAAATCTATATGGATGCATATTTTGTGTGAACTTTTTGTAGCATGTTCGGTAGGAATGGTCGAATAGTACTGGACGATATTAATAAATAAAAAAGAAGCTAAATTCTGTGTTTGAAGAGGAGAAGATAATGGAAATGATAATTTCAATTCTTCCATTTCGTTAGCTTCAGATTAGAAGCTTGTGAGTATTGACATCAACTGAGATGAGCTTTGAAACGCAAGTCTCTTCGTTGGTCAGTCTCCTTTTTTCAGGTAAAAGAAAAAATAAAATAAAATTATGAAATCATTGATATTTTTCAAATGCTTGTGATTATTTTCTTGAATTTTTATGCTTGTATTTCCAGGTTGAATAATCATTTTTACTTTTAATTTCCCAAAATAAAATTTCTGCGTTAAGAGTGTAATGTTTGAAAATTATCATTAGAATTCAATCAGGGTAACGTGGATTTTGGAATTTTCCGAAGGTAAAATTGTATTTTACGAAAAAACTAGCTTCAAAGTGATCTTTTTATCTAGTCTGCAATTCATCCATAAAATCTGAAATTGTCACCACTCTAGAATTTTGTCTTTTAAAACATTGTGTTCTATTTTGTTGGTAATAGCATGTTGGGTAGGGATTGGCTGGTTTTCATTCGGTTTTGGGGTTCCGTACAATAATTAATTTTTTTTGATATTTAAAACAACACTATATTAATTCAACTAATGACATGTTCAATTTTAGCTCTTACATTATAAAGTAGTACAATCTGTGATATTTTTTGCTCATCTCTTTGTTGAGTTTTCATACATTTGGCAGTTAAAATCACAGGAAGAAGAAGATAGCGAACTCAAAATAATAAATAGAGGCTTCCAATTCGACGTCTCCATACGGAAATGGCATTATGGTAGAATAAAATATTTGGGTAAAATTTAGTTCGATTTGATTAATTGGATATGGGTCGAAAATTAGAAATAGGAAAATATACTTTAGGTTGGAGTTAAATTAATTAATTAGCAAATTTATTTAAAAAATAACTTAATTTAACTTATTTAAGATTAAAAAAAATTAGGGATATTCGGTACTTCGGTTCTAGGTTTACAACCGAGGACCGAATCGAACTCATCGATTCAGATACCCGTTCGGGTATTTAATTTAAAAAAATCCCTCGATTCGGTTCGATTCGAACATTTTGTTCAACCCTAGCATTAAACACAAGTCTCATTTTTCTACACAAAATATATTGCACATCCACATATTTTATTTAACTCAAAATTTAATAAAATCTTTTTAGTATTCATCCATATTTTATAAATTTTTCAAAATATTCTTGTGTTGACACCAACAGTCTCCGCTGTAACTAAGTTGTGACTGAATAGGTAAAATAAAAATCTCGTGGTCTGCACGTTCATTTTGCAAGTTCATGTGGGATAATGTTTTCTTTAAAGTTTTCTTTGATAAGTAAAACAAATTTTCCGACAATCACTGCTTTGTTCAAAAAGTTCAAACAAGTAGTTTAATTCGCTTAAATTTCAAATGAATATTCGAATTTCAAAATTAATATTCTCACATGAGCCGTCATCTTGTTCTGAACTACTCCTCAAAAAAGTTAAGTAACTATTTAATAATATGAAAATCAGTAAGTACGAAAAAATGAAAAAGATAAACAAAAACGTGAAATGGAGAAAATCCATTCATTCGTTCCACAATGTAAAAAGTCCAAATTATCATTTCAATAAAAATTACAGTATTTAGCCCTTGTTCGCCCCTCATTATATCTCATTACATTACATTAAATTTTTCTTTCTCTTCATCTCAACCATACATTCATCAAATAAAATAATAATACACACAAATCAAAAAATTTTCAACCACACATCTCCCATCAATCAATATTCTAAAAATTATTTACCCCCCAAAAATTTAATTTAATGGGGGGCAAACATAAATTTTCAACCCCCTAAAAATCTAAAATAATGGGGGCCAAACAGGGGCTTAACCGTTACATTCTTGTAAACACCTGATGAAACTAACCTCCAATACTGTGGTAATTCTTGGACTATCAATTAACTCTGTGAGTCACTTCGACAAATGAAAAGTGGATATCTCACAAATCCATATGATAACACCAATCAATATTTGGTAGGCCCGACTAGACAATGTTAAGAAGAAAAAGAATTTAAATGCGTGCTCGTTGCCCCGTGTAGCATTATTCAGTTCTACGTACATATTGAATGTCATTGTTTTGAAGTTTATAACCCGGCCAAGAAAGCCACCCCCGTGGAAGGTAACCATGACGATCCATAAATAAACTGTGCCACAGTGAATTTGCTTGCCTTTGTCGCAGATTTTATAACCCGATACCCTGGCCATTTAATGCGCTGTCCCACAGCAGCACCAGGACCATAGTTCATGTACTTGTCATAGTACAATGTGTCGAGAGCAAACATTGCGTTCCACTCGAGCCATCCACGCGGATGAACATGACCACCAATGTAAGACATCATATACACTGTTCTAGAATACATTTTCCATGGCCGGCCTAAATAGGTTGCAAAGCTTCCATTCTTAACCACAACTATAGTATTTATTAACCTTGGTCCTAGATTTGGATCTAGACCTACCATTGCCCTTCTTTCTACCTACATTACTACTTGACTCATCACTACTTTGGTAACAATTATGATTGTTTTGCCTAAATTGAGTTCTACCCCTCATCATGTGAATCTCACAACTTTTCTTATCATGTTTTTCAGCTCTAGTCTCCATCTCCTTACACCTAAGGGAGTCAATGACAATTTCAGGCCTCAAGGTGTCTCTACCATACTTAATATCATTTTTTTAATTCTTTATAAGTATCAGATATGGAATTCAGCAAAATAATGGTCTTATAAGTATTAGACACTGACTCTTCACAGTTAACAATATCTTGAATAAGTTTGTTAAACACGTGTAAATTGTCATCAAGATCTTTTGAAAATTTCATTTTGAAACTGAAAAAAGGCCCAAGCAAGTAAAATTTATTTGGAGTAGATTTGAGCAAATACAAATCTTCCAATTTTTTCCAAAGTTTTTTAGTGTAAACGCTCAAGTAAGTAAAGATTGTTTGGAGTAGATTAGAGCAAATACAGTTTTCCAATTTTTGCCAAAGCTCTTTAGTGGTTTTTAGCTTGCCCACTTTTCTCAAAACTGCGTTAGCCAATTGTAAAATAATTGAGGTATAAGCAAGCTCATTAGCTTTTTCTTTTTATTCTTTTGAAAAATCAGAGAGAAAATTGTCATCAATGTCTTTTAAAACATTTTGTTGAATCAAAATACCTCTCATTTTTTTGTTGTCAGATTGAAAAATCATATTTTTCGTTAAAAGTTCCAAAATCAAAATTGTGAGTTGTCATTTTTTAACAATCAATCAAAAATACAAAATCACAATTAAGCTACACAAAAGTAGACATAAGGCATACATTGCTTTAGATTCTCAGGGTTTTGTAAGATTCTCAATCTTAGATCAAGAGAATGTTCAAATAGGTAAGGTCTAAGTATTCTAATAATTTAACAGTGCAACAAGAGATGTGTAAACCAAATAGTTTCACTCACGATAAATCACAGAGATAGTATGCTGAAATTTATCAAATAAATAATTTTAATCACATAGCAACTAAGAGCAAGTAGTACCTAATTTCTAGCACAGACAATGGTTACTTCCACACGGTAACCCCAAACATATTGTCACCCCACACGATAATGCGCTAGTGCTGAAAATTAAATGGGATTAGCTAATTTACCAGAGCGAACCTACCTAAGTTCATAAATTACGAGAAATGTGATTTTAACACTTTAGGGACACCACTATTCGCCCTAAAGTCAACCGCAACCGATCGAATGCAAAAATGGATCACAAATGTACATGGGTAAAATCGTTTAGATTTCACCGTATGGCCTGAAACAGGAAACTAACACCACAAACAGGTTAAAAATCTTGTTAGGATAAAACTATCTAAAGAAACCTTAGCCGAAGGAGGCCACACGTGCCCCACACGCCTCACTGGAATCACCACACGCGACCACCATAGGCCACTGTCAACTCCACGTGCCACACCTCCAAGACTGCCTGCATGTCTCAAATCCGGTCTCCGTTTCACTAATGGACTTCTGGATTGCCCAGAAATCAAGCTTACAGGTCCGATTTTTTTACAAAAAATTGGGCAGGTTTTTAATCTATTTTCTACTACAATTTTGTTGGTTTTGGATCTGTTTTCGCCAGAAATCCACCACAAACGTGGCTCTGATACCAAAATGTTGAGCGGAATATTGAATCCAAGATTTCCGGGCTCAGTATTTCACAAGAATGCCGAATCGACACCATGAAGTTTCAATACCCAAAACCAACCTACAATCACTACGATCCCGGTTACTTGGTATATGCCCACAAATGGCATGGTATGGAGTAATAAGCAACCACAATAGTAGCCACAAAGGCTAAAGAGGATGAAAGGAGAGAACGCAGAAGGCACGAAGCAGAAACAACCTGTTTTCACTCAAAAATGGGGCAGCCAATAACACACTTTCACACAGCCACAAGCCAAAATGGGAATCAACATATATAACAATGTAGTCGGCTTTTAGGTTGGGTAATAGTTAGGCCCAAGAACAAATAGGTAGCAGTAAATAGGCTATCAACTAAAAGCCGTCCAAGGGATAATGGGTTGGGCCATGAGTGGCTCTAACTAAATTAGGTTACTTCTAATGATCCAATTAGGTTATAGGTTTAGGTCGGTACAATCGTGGTGTCGGTGTTTCACTTCAATCATTGGTCGATGTCGACTGAATAATTAAGGATTAACATTATTTCTCGAGAAGTTGTTTGACAACAATTTGCCTAACAAT